CATGAACATATGAAAATTTGTTATATAATGTGAGTGTGATTATAATTTAAAACGAAACGAGTTACCTGCGAACTCAACTCACTAACTTTGAAATAAACTCGAACTCGAGCTCATTTCAACTTGGCAAGGTACGTTAAGCTTGAGAAAACGAGGTTTATACGTGATTTTTTTCAATTTGTAACACAATTCTGTTTTTTCGAGCATGGCTCGTATTCGTTAACTTAAATCTATTCAGCTCGATAAGAGCTCGAGTTCGAATATCAGAAGCTCGATTGCAACTCAATTTACATTTCTAAAATATTGAGCAGCCTAGTTAATATAAGAATTATCAATTTTCTACATTTCATCAAGCCATATAATATTTCATAAATCATAAAACAGAAAAAAGGCTTAAAAACACATCAACGGTCATAATGTCGGGTTTCTCAGGTTTCAACCGGCAACGGGACATTCCATGGTAGCGATTTGTTCCTCCTTTAATCCGACGGCCCTAGCGTCTCCACGCGGACAAGTCGCCCTCGTACGTCGGATGAAGGAATCCTATGTAGCCAGTCAAAGGACGAGACAGTGCACGGGGCGTGAACTTAACTCGCTCTCCCACTAAAGAGAAAAAGTGGGTCCCACTTGATTAGCGTTGACCAAAAGTGGGGACTTTGGTACCCTCAGGCCGTGGCTATGTAGTCAAATTCAATCAGCCTTTCACGTGACGCAAAGGTTCACAATTCACATTGTCTTACTTTCTCTTCTTTTCATGTTTCTTTTTTTTTTTCTATTATTATTATTATTATTNCTGGAATGTTGGGCCTAGTCTTGTAGTTTGTTCTACGTGGGCTTATAATTCTTGAGGCTTTCCTGGTTTCGATCAATGATGGGCCCACTGCAAAATGCTGTACGACCTCTGTAGCATAATTGCATCAAAATGAACTACGTTTTATTTAAGTGATTTTTTTATTAAGAAAATAAGTATACAGCTATATATAAATACATTTGATAAGCCAAAATAACGACTCACCGAGGTTGTCGGTCGAACCGCCTCATCTTGATTGCGTGAGGATTCGGACGTCTTGATCGCCTTCGTCTCCAAGAACCGGATCGACCTGCAAAGCGCCGGGGGCCGTCCTGGCGTAGACACTTCGACGCTCAAGTCAGAAAATATATATTTTGATAGTGTATCTTACATAATCTCAAGAGCTTAGGATTAGAAAATGAACCTGGTCCCTTATTTATAAGGGGTTTAATGACTCACTCCCCAAGATAATGAGTTCTCTCAATGAATCAGAATTCTAACGTTCCTCAATGACGGTGTAGATATACACAAACTTTCATGATTATCTTTAACTAATACCATGTATCATATAAAATAGGCTCCAAGCTCCCTTGGACCGGTCTTATCCGAGCTAACCGGTCAGGCCGGTTCACAGAGTTATTTCTGGTGCTACATCAACAGTAATGAATTCTAAAAAAAAATAATTAATTATAATGTGATAGATGTATATTAGAATAACGATAGGTAGTTATAAATGTGAAGATAAATGAAAAATATGTTATATAGATATATGTATCATATCAACATATGTTTAATTTTGAAAAAAAAAATGATTCGAGTATAATGATATAAACTTAATTAAATAAATAGTGTATTTTTTTATTCATGTGTTGACGGTCTTAACCTTCAGCCTTCCCCACTTGGGGAGTCGGACCCTTGGTGAGCCATTGACCATGTACTGGAGACTCATGAACTTCCACAGTGCTCCTGCCCTAGGGTGAAAACCCATTTCTGGACTCTACGTGGTTTATTACCTTTATACAATTTGTTTTCAGATTATTGATTAAAAGACTCATATAAGAATCAATAATGACTAAACATTTTTTTTTTTTTACTTATCCGATATGATCTTTTACTCTAAACACACAAGCAAAACGTGCTTCACTCTATGACGTGAAAAGAATATAAGTTAAAAGGAAAAAAAAAAAGGAAAAAGAAAATAGATTTATAAAAGGCAAAGCATAATCAATTAATCATGTTATATTAAGGTAATAAAAAAGTGGATATGCAGAATTAGTTGGGCCTGAACTTAGTTTGATTATGAGAATGTTAAAAGCTGTATGGAATGAAGCTGGTAGCCCAATTTATGGTGGTTATTCATCCAGCCCATATTCCTATCAACTTATTGTAATGCAAACTATTGGACCTTGGAATTTAGAGAAATAGGCCTTAGAAATTACCAAATATGGTTTTTTTAGGGTGTTATTCTAGTATAGCTGAGCACTTTGTGTTCGAGTTTGTTTAATAAACAAGCTGACTCGATTTGTAAACAAACCCATAAATGTGGACATGATTGCTCGTTGGCAAAATACTCGGCTCTTCTCGTTCATTTAAAACCTATAAAAAAATGAATAAATGAGTTATACGCGAACGAACTCGATTAATTGTTCGAGCCCGACTCATTAAGTAAACGAATGAATCGAGCTCGAAGTTTCTGAGTCGAGCTCGAAGTTTCACTAGCCATGAAATGTGTTTGTAAGTAGCTCGATTCAAATAACATCTCAATTTTTGTTCCATCATTTTAAATTCGAGTGTACACTATACAATTAAGCGAAAATGGACCTTTACATTAGATATGGTTTGTCCTAATACACAAATGTTTTAAGACGAAACTGGCAGTTAAAATATTTCACAGCTATAAACATACATTAGGCTTTAAAACACGGCATTTGAATTATGAAGTATTCCATGCCAACTAAAAAAAAAAGACTTCTTGAAATTACTTTTCTCTTTACAATTTTTCCAGTTATAAACTTTTTCACTCATTTGCTGTATTACCATTTCATGTTATAAACTTTTTCCATTTCATGTTGTGAACAAACCTCAAATTCTTTTCAACTCCAATTTTTGTGTATCCAGAGTATTAATGATATGTACGTACTTCAGTAAGCAATGTCACTGTCTTAAATCGCACAAACCGTAGAAAAAGAACTGTAGAGACCGTGACTAGAGAGGATTCAGAAAGTGAACTGCATAACAAGTACATTATTTTCTTGGACCTCTGCAAATCACCTTTTTTACTATTTTCTCTTTTTTCCTAAAACAAGTCAAGTCTCCATTTTGTTCAAGCTCGATCGGTTCATTATATCATATTAAATTGAACTCCAGTCTACTTTGGAGCAATCAATATTGAGACGTTTATAGAGTATCTTACGGGATGTTGTTTATAAATTATCTCAGTTCAAACTCAATTCATACTCAAAATTCAACTAGGCGTTAATACAATCCACTATCTTTAATATTATCAATATAATTAAATAATATTAATTCAATCATTCTGACATATCACATCAACTTTAATTCACTATTCATCCACCCACATAATTTTAATTAACCATCACTTTTCATTATTTCTATCATACTTTTAAATCAAATCAACATTAATTATTAATATATACTAAAAATCTCACTAACAACTAATTAGTAAATATACTAATTTTTTTAAAATTAATTTGTATCCAAGCACGCCCAACTATATTCAAAATTTACTAGACAATGATCCGATCAACACATACTCGCATCGCATATCATATAATTAAAATTCCCAAATAAAATTCACCAAGAAAGAGATATATATAGGACATTTGTAATAAATGCATCAGCATTTTTCACGGCCAATTGGAAAGGATTTTACTTGTTTTTTCAAACTTTGTGGAGCACCACTTTGTTTGCCGGTCACTGTACACACACAAACTGTGTTGCATGTTAATTTGAGTTCCCAATGCAAATGAGAAAAAATAAAGTACAAAACTATTACTACCATTTACATGCACCACTAGGCACTAGTCACTATTCTTTTGATGAGCCTTCCATATACCAAAAAGTTAATTTTATTTTATTTTTTGCTCATTTTCATTTTCCCCCAACTTCCAGATAATTTAGCTGAGACCCTTTTCTTATTCATACATATTGTACCACTTTTTAGGGTCTCAAGAAAATTTTCTTCTTTCACTTCCCTCTTATTTACCAGCCAATTTATAAAAAAACCAAGCACAAATGCAATTTGTGAATTTTGGTTCTTTCTAAGTTCTTCATATTCATTTGTCAGAGGGCAAAAGAAAGAACCTTTCTTTGTAAATGGGTCTGATTAACAAGAGATTGGGGTGGATACAGATTGTGGGCAAGAAACAGTGCAAAAGCTTGTACTGGAGAATAAGAGCTGAATTCAAAAGTAAAAAGCAGGTGAAATTCCAGTATGATCCCCACAGTTACTCCTTGAATTTTGATGATGGGTTTGACCAACAGGAAATTGTTGAAAGGGAGAGAGACTTTGAGGGAGTAAAATTCAAGGGAGATCAAGAAAGGATTGTTTGGGTTTATATTGTATTTGTCTAGTTAATAGTGATTTTAGTCATTGGTCTATGTTAACTTGGAAGGACTTTTGAGTTTTACCTTTGTTGTGAAGGAGCCTTTGGAGGCTACACTGTTACTCAAATCTATCTTCCCTGTGTTTTCAAAAATTAAGATACTTTGCACAATGCATAATTGTTAATGGCACAAATTCTTGAATAAAATGGTACATTAGACAGCTGACCCGTCATTTTTTTTTAACAAAAATTGATAATTATGTTATAATATGACATACTTTTATTTATGTTATTTTGTATAGTATTATATTTTAATTTAAAAGTATACATATTTATAAATACCTGTTAAGTTTGCATAACAACAGCCTTACTATTGTTTTTGGTAATATTGTTAGTACTTAGTGCTTCATTTAAGCATTTTGATATTCATCTATTCTTAATGGAAAAATTCTTCAAAAATTTATAGAGTAACGCATCATCTAGTTTTATAGCTCAACAATTATACAAAGATCATAATTCAGACACAAATACTACCGCAAAATCCTCAACCTAGAAAAAATCTAAAAGTAAAAAAAAAAAAAGAACTTACAAAAATGTAGGCACCTACAAAGTTATATACAAAATACATTATAGATAAATTAGACAGCATAATTTCTTGAAAAATATAAGCTAATGTACAACTAAGTAAGATAAGCAAAATCAATAAGAAAAAAATATCTCCTACTCATTATTAGATTTGGGAGGCATAAAAGTTAGACAATCATGGTAAGAACATGAACAGGCTGAACCCACAAGAAGGCAACAATCACTCTATATCAGTACTATTGCTATTAGATACAGATAAATTCCCACTATTTTAACCTTTTTAGCTTTTTTCCCTATAAATTAATTTACTTGAGCTCTCAAGCAGCAGGATCTTCAAGGGCTGCAGTCGTAAATTGGATTCGAGGATAAGTGGCTTTCTCATCCAGCTGGTTTTGCACCCATATCAACATTTTCAACAAGCTTAGAAGCTTTGGATCTGTTTCAACATCGAAATAAGACACTAGAGTCTCGGTTATTTTCACGAAGTGGTAACAATTTAAACGCAACATGTATTCCAATCGAACCCACATTTTCATTGATTGTTATCTAGTTAACAACATGAATATAGAAGCTTTTGACAATGGAAAAGGAGTAAAGGACAAAATGCCAAACCTCGATTTGCTCCTACCAAATTTTCATAATTAACAGTTGAAAGTTGAAACAAAAGCTAACGCGAATACAAGACCAAATCAACATCAAAGCAGGGCTTCAGGGGCATAGCAAGCAGCTCAGTATAGGAATTTGGAGCCGAACTTTTAAAAAACTCTTGTCGATATATATTATATGTATAATTTCATTTTTCAAATAAGAAAATTCTAAGCTCCATATCAGAGTCAGCGAATGCAAGAAGGGAAGAAGGGAGAGATCATATTTACATCATTCTATTGTGTTGTAAGCTTCAGCTTAAACATATGGATTGCAGATCAACGGGTGAAAAGTCTAGCAGCATGACTGAAAATTATTTGCACATTAAGTGATGAAGAAAGCTCCACGACCAAAAAATAAAAAATAAAAATCAATATAAACACCACAGACTCATAGCAATTATACCACGGTCTTGATATTCAAGGATATCATCTCGAGCGTAGACAAAAACTAATTTAAATTCTGAAATACCAAGAAATTTATTATTATATCATCTAGAGACATGCAGAAGCAGCAAGATAAAGTATCTCCTAGAGAAAATCGACCGCTGGATTCAGATTTCACCTATTAAATCAGGTAACTTTGGAATATATAGGACAGTTTCGGTGCCATGCTTCTCATTAAAAATTCTTTAGTATAGTTGAATATTCTTTCTATGACCAAATTTTGAGAATAGATTCGAGCAAGCACTACAATTCGCTTCTGTATAAGGTTATATATTTTTCATGTAATCAAATACACATAAATACCGCAGGGACTAACCTTTTTCATGGCTTTGACTGATGAGGATAGCTGCATTCACCTCTCTAGCAGTCTTAAGGCGTTGAGAAATATCAAGGAGCTCGGCAACAGGGCAATTGGTCATGTCTTCAAAAGCAAGCAACGCAATAGTCCTTTCCAACTCTTCTAGAAAGCCTTGCTGAATTTATGGAAAGAGCTAAAGCGAGTACTTATACATGCTGTGGGATGATAAATTTTAAATTATAATAGGAAAACGTACCCCTGATATCCGACCTAATTACAATAATAATCTTTCAGGACTAAAAATGTCCCCGTAAGAAAAGTGATACTAAGAATTATGTCAAATATTGAAAGATAATTAGTAGTTTCTTCACTTTCTGTAATGGGCTTAACCTCAGGGGCAGTATTTGTAAATGTAGTTTATCTATATATAATGTGTTATAAATTCCCAAAAGGAAGCTCCTAATGATGCGGCAAAAAGTTGGGAAGTGATTATTGTGAGCATGCAAAACAGGTGATGGAGCAAATTAGCTACATCAGCACATTATCAGATTTGAATTAACATTGACAAGTGAATTTGAAGAATGTTACATTTTCCTCTCCCCTTGGAGCAAGTTCCTCTTGAGCAAACTCGAGGGCTTCTTCTACCTTCCCATTTCGGATAAATTCTATAAGACGCTGCTGTTGGAGATGGAAATAGAGTTCAGGGTTCGTGTCCAGTATCTGCACTCAACATACTCAGAATTTAATTTTATGACATAACAACAGGGAATCAAGTGACTGATTAATTGCTAACAAAAGACAATATTCCAGTTAGTTCAAGATCAAAGCTTAACCCATTTGTCTTTATTCAACCACCAAAGTGAGGAAGAAGTGACTTGTAAGTTGTACCTCAGGGTTTAAATCATTAACTTTCTCAATAGCATCCTCCACATTACCACTCTGTACTGCTTTCTTGACTGCCATGCGATCAGTGATTGTTGCAAGATCCATACCTGCTATTTTCTAATAAGGAAATTCCAATGAATGCTTAAGATTAAAAATGTGCGTTCCGAAAACGAACACATTAATAAAACACAACAATGAATGATTCAAAATAGGATACGCGCCGTCCCAGATTCGAGTCGAAATTTTTCAGCAGCCTCCACATAACCCTCTGTGACCAGAAAATTCATAACCAGTTTGTTCATATCTTCCTTTCTAACTTTAACATCTTCAAGATTCTTCTCCCAATCAGCCCTAATTATAACTTTCTTCGACGTGACCTGTAAAATCAAATCACGCGTACGAATAAATAAAATGATGCCAGAAAGCAGTAAGCAAGCACGGCACTGACGGCATATAATAATAAAAATAATGAAAGAAATAGTCGAGCATTGTCAATGGTACAGCTACAATCACGCTATAAACCCATATAACACATTCAAATTAAACAAATTGCAGTGCGAAAAATCATATCAACAACCTCAAATTTCTGCAAAAAAACTTGCTCCTGACTGGAGAGAATCCGAAAATTAATTTGACAAATACAACACCAACAAAAATCTCAGTCCACACATGAATCGATTGTGGACTGCAAGCTCATAAGCTTATCAATTGCCACGAACCCATCAAACAATATACACCCAAATAGATAAACCCATTTAACATATTCATCAAATGCAGCAAATTGTAGTGCGGATAATCATATCAACAACCTCAAAATTTCCATACAAATTTTGTTACCAACTGGTGAGAACATCAGAATATAAGGAGAATAAAAGCAACAGCAACAAATATCTCAGTCCATACACGCATCGATCGCGAACTGCAAGCTCATCAATTGCCACGAACCCATCAATCAATATACACCCAACATGATAAAAACGAGCAGCTACATAAATGTGCGATAAATTAAAACACATATAATACAATCAGAAATTGTGCGGCGGAGGTAGAAGCGTTTACCATGGCTGAGACTCTAGCTGGTCGACGATTTTTCAGTGCAGAAAATCGGTATCCACCGCGCGCCACCGGCTCAAACAGAATAGGAATCGAATTTTAACTATGATTAGCAAAAAGGTACTTTTTTAAACCTCTCGGTTAATCTGTTTGATTTATTTACTGATAGAAAACTGAAAAAGGGCAAAAAAGAGTTAAAGAGGAAAAGCATTTGAGCAGTTATGATGAAGCCATGAAGTAGTGACTCTTTTGTTTAGCGTGGGGGTTAAGATTTATTATTATTATTATTATTTATTATTATTATTATTGTTATTATTATTATTATCTTTAATATTTCAAGTGTACCTTTTAATAAACTTTATTATAAAGTGTCTCTTATATTACCTTATCATCTTTATTATAGTATTAATAATGTGACATTCCTTGTAGACCATATCTACTCTAGTGTAGAGTTTACTCTATTATAGAGTAAGACGAAACAAAAATTAAATTTTAGTTTTCAACCGTTCGCGCTACATTTTACTCAGCATATATTATTTATACTATTTTAATTTATTTAACATGTCAAAATATTATTTCATTGGACATATTATTTTATAAAATAAGTATGTTCATGATGTTAGTTGGTCTACTAAATATTGTTCCACAAAGAATTATTATTTTCTTATATAATGTGATTTTTTTAACAGTAATTCAATATAAATATACATTTTTAGAAAATAATATTCACATGATTCTAAAATTATATTATAAATTTAATGGTATAAATTTTTCAAATAATAAATTTAAGATAAATCAAATTCATATAATATAAAAATAATAAAAAATAAATAAAAGTTGTAGAATAATGAATACTACGATTTCAGATGTAGTGTGATATTGTTCATAAGTCTAGAGTAGTACAGAGATGTAACCCATCGTTGGACGACAATTTTGTCAAACTCGCTAGAGTAGCGCAACATTGAAATTGTTCTTATATATAACATGAGAACATGCTANTTAATTAAATAATAAATAAAATAATAAAATACGGCCAGATAATCAATGAGCCGACAATACGAAATAAATAAATATACAAACAGGTTCTCGATACCAATCAAATCAGAAGCCGCCTCAGATAGACGTCAATCGAAGCCGTCAGAAGTCATAAGCGGGCCCACGATGATTATCTCATATTAAATAATGATGTACCATTTTTTACTTATTGAGTTGCCCACTTGCAAAGGAGAGAGGGGTATATAGATGTACAAATGAGGAGAGAGAAGGGGCGGTTGGATGAGGCTCTCCCCATTTTCCATCTTCCCATCAACCAAGAGAGAGAAAAACTCTCCAAAATAAAAAGAGAGAATACAAATTTTCGATAATCCTGTTCTTCATTTCATTCAAGAAATTCGACTTTCATTCGATAGTTGATCGTCTGATTTCTGACATCAACATTAAGAACATAAAAATTAAAAAGACAGTCTCTAATTGCCCCAAACGTGAACAAGGCAAATCACCATTAATTAGAAGCAATCTCGAACTCCCTCCACTTTGAAATTGCGGTATTTATCAGAACCAACTTCGGTATGCTCGTTTTTTGAAAAACTCATAGATTTATCGCCTTCCACATCCACCAAAGAATGTAAGTCGATAGTTGGATCCTACTTTCATCAATCTGCTTATGACTCGGAGAACATAATATATACCACCAGTCCACAAAGTTTCTTCCCTCGGTACCATCGCCCGTCCACTTCACTGGAGAGAGCTACCACTTTAATGGCCTTCCTGCAATGCTAAAATAGATGGTCTATAGTTTCCTCTTTTGCCTCGCATACTGGACAAATAACATCCACTTCTAAACCTCGTTTTTTCAGTAGAGAGTGATCTGGAATTATTCCTGATAGACATATCCAAACGAGATGCAATATCTTCCTTTTCACCTTTAGGCCCCATGAGAACATGCTAATCTCGAGTGGCAATTTCTCACATTTCGTAATCTTATTTTATAATATATGACGCTTTGTAATATGACTCGAATAAAAATTTTTATTTTTTATATCAAATAACTTAGGCTTGAATTTCAATATTTAATGTATTTAAAAATTCCACATAAGTCTACTGATTCTTTTCATTTTATAATGTACACTTCTAAAAATTTTTGCGGCGTTCACATTATTCTCTTATGTGGCTTGACTAAAAGTATTATAAATAAAACTAATAATTTTGTAGATATATTAGTTTTCAAAATTAAAATAATATTGTAATTTGTTTATAGTTCTTTATTATGAATTAGTATATTGTTGTGTTTTCCAACTTCAATAAAATATACAAATATTTTTTATCTTTTATTTTTTCTTGTCTTACATTTAATTATTTTATGAAACACTCATGTAGTACACGACAGTTTTAATATAAAGATAAAAATTAATTTAAAAATATTTATTAAAAATTATATTATTATTTTTAGTCTATATGACACCCACTATCTATATAATACATATCATGCAATATGATAATTTTTGTAAGTCATTTCATATAATAAGCTTAATGGATACATTTATTTTAGTGATAAAGAAATAAATTTACTATTTTATGATTAATATTTATAGATAGTTGATGTATAATTATAAAAGTAGATATTGTTATTTTTTACTTTAACAATGCCATGTGAATATCAAGTAATAAAAAATGATTTGTTTGAAATAAAAATAAAGTTATTAAGTTTCAAAGTTTTTTTACAATTAAATTATACAATTTTATAATTTACAAGTTTCAATATGCATGTAAAAAAAATAGAATTTTAATGGGCTATTATAAAATACCATAAATTCGACAATTGTGCTTTGAAAAACTCTATATTTATATAGAAGGGGATATATGAAAGCAAAAATAAATAAACATGTTCCTTGGCTACTTTGGAACTATTAAAATGATGGGAAATCATACCGATGATTATTTATCGAGTGCGGATATCCTAAAACCGTGATTTAATAAACATATTGATTCATAATATATAGGGATAAATGATGAGAACAACTTTAATGTATACGAGACAAATAAAATGGGAGATGTAAAATATTTTACCTTAATTATTATGTGACAATGGCGTGGATATAGATTGATAGCCAATGGTTTATAGATGAAGGTGACCAAAATAATTAAGTGAGCCTTGACTATTATGATGTCAATAATGAAGAGAATGGGGAAAAGAATTAACTTGTATGGACAACATAAGTTATGTATGTCATTATTTCACTTCCCTTTGTATCCCCACTCTTTGCATTGGAAGTGAAGCTAATTTATAATTTTCATCATCCTCTCCCAAATTTGAAATGAAACTACCAATAAAAATTTAGAATAACATCATCTTCCTTGAATCCCCTCAAACCAAAGAAAGTATAAGTGTACAATGCACACATGCTAAAATATACTATAGTTCTAATTACAAAATTACAGTATTAACCTAATATTTACCTTACTTATAGGAGGTTGTTTTTTCATGAACATTTTTCTTTATTGTTTAGTGATATGAGTCTTTCTTTTTTATATGTTAACTAGTTTTATCCCGTGCATTTGCATAAAAAGCGATATAATAGAAGAGAAAATAATTAAAAATATAGATTAAAAATAAAAATCATAACTTAATAAATGAGAACATAAATAATTTTAAAAAGTGAATCTAAATATTATTAAATACCTCTTTATATACAACATTCGTGGTTTTCCTATCGTCAGAATTCTTATCACAACAAATCCTTATCGTTATACACCTTCGACTTGTGACTCTGGGATTTGATTTTTTAAATATCTTTGTAATATCTAGAAAAATATTTTTTTTATTATTGTATGACTGCACTAGAAAATAGAGATATCTGTAGTCATTCTTAATTAATTCTGAAATATGTATTTTATAATACCATAAACTATATAGTATCAATTTAAAATAAAAACATTTTGTATTTCAGGATATAAACAAACATTTCAGAAATGGGCATCATCTAAAATGGGATCTATCAAAATAAATTGTGTAACCGAAAGTTACATATTTTTATTAAATGGTGGATATATTTTTATTAAATGAACACCTATTTTTATTAAATGAACCTATATTATTATTAATTGCTGGCTGAATAAAATTTATTTAAGCTTGCCATCAATTATATAAATATAGATGTTTTATGTTGCTGACACCTAGTTGAAAATTAATTACGCGTTATTGACTAGTGATGTCCGTTATCGTTAGCGACACCTATAATATGCTGTGTCAATTTGTAGGCTCTCTTTATTTAGATTCATCATACAATTTGACATAAAAATTGATTAAAAAAAGTATGTCAACAACTAAATCATTTAAGTAATAATAATTTTTATCACTTAATGTTTATTAATCACGTGAATGCTTATTCCTGAGTTGATATCGATATCAAAAAATTCCCTCACACTAACAAATCCATCTGAATCCAAACAATTTGCTAAACTAATAAGTGTAATATTGAAAGATTTGGAAATAGGTTCTAAATTTTTTACTTTTTAAAATATGATTTTGACATAAAAACATTAAATTGATCAAACATTTGACATCGTTTTGACTTTCGTTCCCAAACATAATTCCTGTGCCTTTACTAAATTCTACACCAAATCTATCGTATTTCTCCATCAAATGAAATATTTTAATAGTAAAATGCATTTGTTTTTAAATGGGTAGTCCCGCTGTTTTTGAGTTTTCCACTTTTGGTCTCATTGAAATGCTGTTTTTCAAAATCACTCTTCTAACTTTTTAAATTCAATAAAAAAAAAAGACAATTATTGTCGGAACTATCTTTTTAGGGCCCAGAAATGACACGTCATGCTGACATGCCTTATTAATATTACTGCTGAACCATTTAACTCCTGCGGTGGCGAATGACATAGAAAAATATCAAAATCAGTCGAATAATTGTAGAGATGTTTCAGTATTAGTCCCATTAAAAAATCTTTTTTTTTTCTTTTTTACATTAAAAAATTATTTTGATTATTAATATTTACACAATCTTTATTAATATTTCCGTAATATGTAGACAAAATATTTAAGTAATATAAATAAATAGTAGTTATAAATATATTTTCAATTAAATTGCCATAACCATTTTCATTCTTATAAAATAATTATATACCAAAACTTAAAAAACTATTTATGTATAGTTATGCATTTGATATATGTAAATATATATTTTGAAAAGTAAATGA